AAACCCATGACTCTCAATCAAAGCCATCAACAATTTCCCCCAAAAAGCAACTTGGCATGACCCAAGAAAATAAACCAACCAAAACAACTCGTCCTAAAATGCCACCTGGCAGTAAAGTAGTACTGAAAGGGCAGGAGGGTAAAATTGTTCTGATGTGCCCCCTAGCACATTTTATTAGTTATAGAATAATAAGTCTTTATGTTGTAAATCACATCCACATTACTTAATTAGTCATCATAAACTAAGAAAGGAAAATTAAACCAAGAACATTTGTAGCAGGTTAAACCTGATTATGTGGACAAGCATCCTCCTAATTAACTGTTCATAAAATAACCATATAGAAAAAAAATCACTGAAAAGCCTTGAAAAGTAGAATCATGATTAGGGAAAACTAGAAATGTTTTATTTGGTTCTTTTTTTTAATTGAAAGCAGCACTTTTTACTTTTATATTTTTGAAGCTATTTCCCATGGATAGAAACCAAAGAATGAATAGAAACCAAATATTTTTCATTAAAAAATTGAAATATTACAGTCCAAAACAGGATTATTTCTATTCAGACATCCCCTCCTAGTGCCCCCTGAGATTTCAAGTTTTGTTTTTGTTTTTCTTTATGAGCGAGCTCTCCAGTTGGACTTCACCCCCATGACATCCCATGGTCAGCGGCTCTTATGGTGTATTGTTTTCCATCACAGAGTGGAAAAACTGTAGCATATCATGAGTTATATAACATGATGGGGAGGATCCATTTTAGAGTGGAGGATGGAAGCATGAGAAACCCAAACCCCATCTTTCATAAGGCATCTTGAACACATTTACAGACTAAACTGTTTTTTTTTTAATCTTGACCAAGTTATTTTGGTTTTCATATCTCTCTAGAAAAATTCTGAACACATTATAGCCTCAGAGTTTTGAGAACAATTCTGACACCTTGCCATAATGTACTAATCCTTTCCCAGAATTTAATAGCCTATCTAATCCCCAATCCATACATCCACATGCAGCATGTGCCTATCTGAAAGTGAATAGAATACTCCTACAATAAGTCCCCAGACCTCTCCATACTTCACCAGGTTCTGGAATGAAGTTGCTAGCTTCTTCCTCAGTGTTTGTGCTGAGAAATTAACACCGATATTAACAATACCAAAATCAAATAGAAACGATATTCATTATGCAGGTCAGCACATAAAAAACTAATGCAATGACAACCTGGTGACAGGAATAAAATCCAGTGAATAGTTTTGCATAATAATAATTACCCATTGGAAAAACAACATAGCAACAAAACCAAAGATGAATTCTAATCCTGACTATATCTTCCCCAAACACCACCATGGGAAGACAATAAGGGACATGAAAAGATGATCCATCCCATAGCATCATCTTTTTGGGGTTTCCACAAACTAAAGGGATCTTTGTAGAATTTGACTTCACTCTTTGTGAGCAGCAGCACAATTGGGTATAATTAAATATACTCCTAGGCCAGAAGCCAATCTTTATACCATAAATTACACGTCTTCTTCAGCAAATAAGCTGTATCATAAGCTTATCAATTTGTCAACAACAAACCTGTGCCACTCAGTTTCTCTTTTATCATGGATTAAACATTTATTTGACATGTAAAGTCACATCCAAGTTATGCTTTCCTTCTAAGCTGCCTGCTTGTTCAGTCCTTAGGACTGCATACAGCAGCTGAATATAAATTAAATGCATTCTACTCTAAAATTGGAGCATCCAAGTAAAATGGAAGAATGATGTGACAAGTACACTAGCAAAATGAAACAAAGCTGGAATGGTAGATCAAATTTTATTTCTATCAGTCTTGAGGGTGCTCTTTTAATATTTTATAACACCATTAATCACCATCATGCTACTGTCCCAATAACTCTAGAAATATGGCTTTTAACCTCTTAGAATACCATGCACCTAACGATGATTGAAATCTAAGACTGAAATTTACATGGGGATCACTGATTACATACCTGAGGAAGGCAAGATCCTCAGATTTCTTCAAAAGATAACTGCCAGCTGTCACCAAAACCAAGCTAAGTATAGGTATATAGAGCACCTAGGTATAGGCATAGCAGTTCTGTTTTTATATTGCATATTTACCAAATTCTTCCTCTGACTCAACTACCACCTAACTTAAAAATTATATATATTTTACTTTTTAAAAGCTAGATGATTTTTTTCAAAACTTGAATGTTGTACTGCCTTTCTGGTAATCACTAGGCTCACTCAGTTACAATCAGTTTTGTTTAGAGAGCTGTCTAAGTGTTAGCTACATGAAATTAATACTCCCAACTATAGTCCAGAATAGCCATTCTTTCTTTGGGCCTAGTATGAGGAAAGCCTAATGCTCAATTTCAGCCCAGACTCTCTTCACAATGACCTATGGAACAGAGACATTTGATGTATTGTGCACTATTCCAGAGTACATCTCTATACCTCTGTCCATAAAACTTCCTGTATAACATCATCTGCATCAGATTGCAGTAAATGGAAAGAATATCACTGACTTCATTATTTTTGGAAAAGTCCCATGAAGTAATATGTTTTGTGCCAGTCCTCTGCACTTTTGTGAGTTTTACCCCAGGTATTTATTTTGTAAGCTAGAATACTTATCTGTAATATTTATTTCTACCTTGACAAAATTGGTACCATATTATTTGATGATGTTTTGTTTGCAAATTAAAATTCCTACTTCAAATTACATAAATAATGAATATCAAATAGACATGATCAAATTTAATTTGACAGATTATAGAGTAGGAGAAATAAATAATTGATCACAAAACAACTCAAGCCCTGTCATGTAAGAGAGAGATTTCATTTAGATATAGTGACTGCTCATGACAGCTCTACAATATTTTCTTCTCAGGTAATTATTTAAAGAATATTTTTGATATATGCATTTAGCTCACACTATATATGATCAGTGAATCATTTGTTATGATGTTACATCTAGAAGCAGAATGGTTCAAAGCTTTAAGAGCTACTTTTACACAGAAATAAACGCTCTTGAAAAGTTAGTTGTATGACTTTAATTAAAGTGGAACCATAATATAATGTAAGAACTTAAAATAAGTTTTCATTTCTCCCTGCAAAAATTACCACTTTATAGAAGAAAGAGAGAGAAAGAGATCAATCTATTGATTTGACATATGAAATAAATTTGTGTGTATATGAACTTAAAAAACATTAACAATGGTTTCAAGATACTCACTGGAAGTGTATTGAAAAGATGTTCTAATATTCACAGATAATAAATTTCATTCTGAGGGCAAAAGTGGATAAGGTTGACTGCATATATAAACATTAATATTTCATAAAAATGCATTGTTTCAAAAGAAAAGCCAGAATTGGTAAATGCATAATGTTTTCTTATTCCACTTTTATATGTTAGCATAATTCTTGGAAAGTCTTCATGTTATGTTCTTGGAAAGCTGTTTCAAAACCTATTTTTATATTAAAAATGACACACAAAACCAATGTCACATACATGAGTACCCTTACAATATTAATATAGATTTTCCAGATTATTAGAGAAATGTATAACTAGCCTGTGGGATTCACTGATATCAAAATATCAAGGCCATAATTTAGAAGGACTCAAAACAAACAATCCTCCCTTTCCCCCCCTCAAATAACCAACAAACAAAAGAATCCCCTCTGGGGTGTAATTATAAAGATTAGGAAGAAAATCTAATGTGAAATTTTGTCCTTAATGAAGGCAATGAAAAATGTCCATACTGATCTCAATGAGGCAAGAATTTCAAGCCAAATTGTTGGGTAAGGCATTTTAGTCTTCATGTAATGTTACAAGGGCAGAGCTGAATTCTAATTAGGGACAGTAAGAAACTTCCCTTTTTTGGGTAGGTATAACATGCCCAGTACTGGAGCAAGAAGGTCTCCTGCCTGGCTCACCCCCTGGGCCCTACATTGTTTCCCCTCTCTGGCTTCCCAGGGTTTGCCTATATTGTATCTTTCCTGCCATGTCTTGATGTTACAAATCATAGGAAGACTGCCCCTAGGAGGCCTTTTGTAGTAGGCCTTTGTCAGGGTTGAAGCCTCTTTCAGCCTTGGCCCATGTCAATCTATCTGGGTTCCTTCCACCCAGGGCCTACCATATCATGGCACCAGGCTTACAGACCCCAGCCTGCCCCCTAGGCTGTGGGCCTCTTGGCGTCCTGGTCACAACCTTCATGGGCTCTGAGCTTGTGCTCTCTCAGTTTTTGCTGGCAGGTATTCAGTCCTCTGGCATGCAACATTCTTCCCTCCAAAATGCTTTGGTTTCTGCTCCACTCAGTCCACCAGGTTTCAGGCCATGGAGTGCTCTGTTCTGGGTGCCCTTGCAGCACCCACTGACCTCCAATTCCCCCTCCCCTCTTACAGCCACATCCAGATGTCCAGTTTAAACAAAATCATGAGCGTCTGCTCCCAAACATAAAGGTCACACAACACAAGCTCTCCAGCTGGAGTTAATTTCACCCTGCAGTACCATCAGTGTAAAGTTTTGAGGGACTTACCTTGTGTTGCTCACAGTGCAGAGTTTCTTACACCTTTCTGCGGTGCAGAGTCCTTTCTCACCAAGAAATCCAGACTGTTCTCTTCATTGAGCTCTGCTTCCTGCAGCTTCTACAGACAAACTCCCCTTCTGGGTCAAGCCCTGGACTTATGACACTCTTGCTGGGTCACCTGACTCTACACTTCTATCCCAGGCCTGCCAATCACTGCCTATACCTTTATTAAAAGCCCCTTGTTCCATTAATTCTGTTCATGGAGCTGGGCCCTGGGCTTTCTCTCCTTCTCAGTACTGGGGCATGGGCCATATTACAGCAGGTTACCCCATAACTACCGACAGCTAGGGTTCTTTAACCTTAGTCTGAATCAAATCATTGTATTCTGTGCAGTAAACAAGACAGATCATAGAATAACAAATCCCATGTTCCTAATAGAATGGTTAGGAAAGAAATTTCTATTTCAAGCTCTTGGGGGCTATGAGAGCTGGGTTTAAGTATTAATGGAACATAGCAGCAGATGCTAATATTAAACAGCAATACCATTTGTTAGCTTCAGCCAATATAAATTGCACTGCTTTCTGATATAAGCTGAATGAAAGTAAATAATGTTTTATGTTAAAAATAGTTTTCAGTAGTAAGATACTGCATTTTTTTTAAAGAAAACAAAATGTTTTCTAAGGTCTTAATTCTTAGAGCATTCCTGAATAAATACCCACAGAAGAGTCAAGAGGCAAGAGCAATCTGCTTTCTTCCCCATATGGTCTACTTCCATGGCTGAAGCTTGTAGTAGAGTTAACAATAGTTGAAGATTTCCTCTAAGTGGGTGCATCCAGATGACTGTGGCCATGTGATATGTAGGGCTACAAACACCATATACCACACAGTCAGGTTTTCTCTGCACTGCAAGGGCACGCTGCCCATGTGTGTGCTGCTCCAGTTTTTGTTTCCATGGGTTTTTTTGACCCCTGGTAGCTGTGGTGCAAGGTGTACTGCTGCTACTTGTGCCCAGGGAGCCAAACATCCATGCTCATCTGGACATAGCCATTCTGTATGGATAAGTGAGCTAGGGAACAAGGAAGGGGAGTGAATGGCGTCATGACACATCCTGCCCCAAATGCACCAGATCTACAACTTGACACATGTAAACATTTTGGTGTTCAAGTTCTGATTAGAGGGAATTCTTGGAAAACAGAAAACAACAGGAGAGAATAACATTCTCCTATAAAGCTGAATGCAATTATTTGCACAAAACAAGCTACAGAACACTTACACTGGCTAATATATTTGGACCAAATCCTATGCAACTATAACACCAGTGAAGTCAAAAGAGTCAAACTAGGCAAGATATTAATCTGTTGTGCTTTATTAGATTGATTCTTTTTCAAGTCTCAAAGAAACGAGTCTCAAGGAAAAGGCTGCTAAAACCCCAACCCAAACTGCTTCTGCAAACGTAAAATAAACACATGTAAGATCTTTGTAAATCTAGAACATTTCTAGGTTTTTGTAATGAGCAACCTTGAGCAATGACTGAAAAGTGAAGAGTAACAAGTACTGAAAACAATTGTCAGAAATTGTTGAGAAAGGAATGAAAAATGGAACAGGTTCAATGGACAAAAAGTATATGAGAAGTATGAGAAGAAAAGCTTAAGAAAGAGGTTATGCAGAATAAACAGGGACTTAAAAATAATTTGATTTTATCTGAGCCCTTGCATTACTCTTCTATAGAACCTCTTTAGAATAGCTGCTTTGAGATCTTCATTTGCACCCATGCTTGTATAACAAGCATTATAAACATGATTAGGCTCATTGTGGTCTACACTCGGGAAACCTCTACATTATGCCGCTCTGTCTCAGTGACTCCAATGAGACTGACACAGTTATCTTAGATAAAGATGCTTTTTTTAAAATCGGGGTTGTATCACATATCACACACGTACACTTTATAAGACTAGAAACACAATTAGTTTTCAGGTTTGGTATTCAAGGGAAAAGCATAAACATTTTCTTTCACCTTAACAAAATTAACCATAAAGAAAAAAGAGCCTCAAAGAGAAAGTCAAGGAAAAAATGTAACCTTTGTGCTGACATATAATGAACCAGAACCTTATTAATTAATTATTGCAATTATTATTAATTATTTGTTATTAGCAACAGATGTAAGAGGCTGGCAGCAGATGGCAGGATGGTGTGAGAAAGAGATTAATCTCCTGCATTTATTTTTGGCAGCCCTTCTGCCCCACCCCCACCCCCGCCCCATCTGTGGCATGTTAGAGAGATCAGAAGTTGCACCATGCACATGGCAAAAACAACTTGAGCTATTTGACTGTTTTCCTTTCCAATCCAAAATCCATTTATTATTTGTGATCACAGAATTTTAAGAATGTAGTTTTTCACTAGGCACATGTTGGCCCATATTGTACTGATGTTTCCATGGTACACATTATATATGCTGCAGCATTTTGCTAAATGGTTTTTGCACATTGTGACATTTTTGACAAAATATAACTGAATTTCAAAAGTCTGACGTGACCCTGCAGCAGTCCTTATACAGGGAAGATCTTCATTGATGATCCAGCATCATTGGTGTTATCCTTCACTGTAGTTTCTGATTCATATCTAAATGAAAATTCATAACCTGTTTACAGCAAACTAGCATACAACTTACTATTAGAATGATCTGGGAGATGACAATTTTATTTTCCATCAATTTCTATATAATGGATTTCATGTTTAAATGATAGTGTTCTGATTAAAAAAGAAATCTGAGTTTATCAGTTCATGTCTTCCTCTCTCCCTCTTTTACTCTCTAGGCAATTATATTCTGATCCAAAAGCTTTCCCCAGAAAAACTAACTGGAAACAATATATCTTTATGAATAATCATATAGCAGTAAAAATCAATATAATATCACTATTATGTGATCAATAAAATGTCATTCAAAATGTTCTATCCAGTTCTTTTTAATGCAACTGTATACAAAGATTTAAATTTCATATCTAGACATAGATATAAGTAGTAATTAGAGACACAAGCTGTAGTATTTGGAGACACAAGCTGTCATCATTTGGCATACTAAAAGGTGAAATGCATATTGATGATTAATATCAACATAAGTTTCTATAAATATTATGGCAAATTAGAAGCCATTCTTTTTAATTTATTACTGTAATTTCTATGCATGCATCAGTATCTCTTTGCATTTCGGGGGTTTTACTTTTGAGAAATCCTAATCACCTAGGAAAAGGTTTAAGATGCTCAATGGATTTTATACATGGTATTCACATCTATTTAACATGTAAGAGTTATTGCATAGAAGCCCATACTTAAAGCTGTCCAAGTTAACAAAACCCCTACTCATCTTATTATATAAAATTGTTTATGTCAGCAAGAGTCAAAGACTAAATTAGACCAAACATGAAGATCTACTGTTACCATCTACAGACTGGTAAACAAGAGGTGTGGGACCAGAAATCCATGGACCAAAATCGTGGTGCTGAAAATGTAGTCTAACAATTGACAAAATAATGAAAAAAGATGTCTATTCCAAAAACCCTTTATGGGATCCAAAATTTGGTATTGCTGGCAGAGTAAAAAGGACAAACATTAGTATCCTGGCTTCTCATGCTACCCTTTGAAAACCTGGGATCCATATGACACTATTTTGTACTTTTTACCCTCATTCTGTGAGATGTTCTGACTAGACTGAGAAACTCAAATGAAGCTGCGTCCTCCATCAGTTTTGGCTAAGTCTTATTTAACACTTGTGCTGTGGGACTTGTGTTCTTCCTGTTACTCTATGCCTTCTGTCTCCCTTTCTTTCCCTAGGTTTCTTTTCTTTTTTTTTCTTTTTTGTTGCTATCCCTCTGTGTTCTGCTCCCTATTTAATAACATGCTATTTAGCCAGCCAAGACTGAATCTTTTGCAACTCTGCTATGATCCTGTGACCGGAAAGGCAGCTAAAAGTAATTTTTTAAATGGCCTGATGCTGATAAAACTTTCCAGGTCACAGTGTGGCTGTGTGCTGCCTTTTATTTCCAGCAATCAGGCTCAAAGAGTCAGTGCCAAAAAAGGAGCAGTGCTTTCTATCTTTGTTCTTTCCTCTCACCCCTTGTCTGTTTGTCCTGTTTTGGCATCATAGAAACAAAACTAGACACTTAACCACAGCAGCTCCACCCATCTCAGCTAACATTTTCTCTTTTCCCTCTAAAGGACAGGTATTACTCTCTCTGATAACTCCAAAAACATTGTCCAGCAAGTTATTTCCCCTATAAAAAACTCTTTATAGCTAAAAGAAAAGGGGACAAGGAAGATGATTAAAATAAAGCCATATTTAACACTTTACATTGCTAATACTTTAACTGCTTTTCTTCTTTTTCTATATTTTGAATAAAAGGTTAAAAAGTTATTTTATGAAGACAGCTTGTCATAGGTTCAGCAAGATAAAAACTCTGAACTCATAAATCTGAATATTAACTGTTTCACGTTGTACAGTGTACAGTATTTTAACAGTTGATTCTCTGGGGCATTTTTTCCTTCAACATTGATACATACAACAGATTCTATCAGATCACTTTCTAATGTGTTTCATTTTTCACCTTTGCATTCAGATAATATGCACTGTATATTTGTAACAAAGTATACACTTGATATTATTTTCCTCAAGGTGACTCCTAATTTAATTTTAGTGGTGCATTTGTCTTATTCATGTTATCAGTTTTGGAGAACACCTGAAGCAGGAAAACAGACCCATCTATTGTTAATAAATTAAGCTGAAGGGAGCATACAGATTTTTCTTTTCCTCTTCCCCACTGCTTCCACTTATTAAGAAACTAAAAGAAAAATGAGACAATTCAACAAGGTATGAACTTAAAATATACTGGACCTGTTACTTTTTTCTTATACAACAGCTGTATGTATAAGATTGATTGGAATACTTCTACCTGATATCATCCATGTGCTCTCATGCAGATCCTGTTTTTGTGAATGATAAAGCCCAACACTAATTATGAAAATGAGAGTGCAGTACCAGTTATTCAATGCTGACTAAGTGAAACTGCAACTTTATTTCCAAAAGCTAACAACAAGTACATCGAAGAATCTGCTTAGTGTAGTTAGGTGTGTGCCAGCTGTTCAGATACCATAGCGATTAACATTGTATAGATACACATTTTAGGTAGATGATGACTATCTGACCTTCCTCACAATTACACAAGAATGTAATAAACATCAGAGCCGGTACAATCTATTTTTGAACTGATTATTGTCCTTATTTGAGATTCAAAATGAGTTCAGATCAATACAGTATACAAACAAATGTTTCCTCACTTATTTAACTGCAAATGCTATTCTCTTCCCAGTAATATATGCCTCTATCCCTTACTTTCTTCCTTCCTGAATCTCATTGTTTAGTCTCCAATCATAGTCCAGTTCACAACTTTAGCATCCAAAATGATCTTGAACACTCTAGTGCCCCATGAAGACATTAGAGAATACATTTAGTAATTTTAGATCAGAAGAACTTGAAATATGGAATTAGAATGGATTCAGGATGGAACTAAGCAGCAGTTCATGTTACCTGCTATTGGCACCTGGCTAGGGAAGGAACTAAAAACAGGAAGCTGAAGAGCAAGCTTTGGGGAAAGAGCAGTAGTTTTTGCTTGTTTCTCTGTTTTTTGCAAAGGAAGGTTCATGAGTTTACAGAACTGGTTAGTGGGGCATAGGCTGATCCAATATCAAATATGGTATGTGGGTGAATTTTAGGCACTCACCAGCATGGAGTACTAAAGTTTGAAAGTGAGGGAGCCATTAAGAGAGGGAGGACCAAAAAAGAAAAAGATATTGATAAATTCAGACTCGTGGGAATTTACTTGCAATGTTAAGTACCACAACACTTATTCCTACTTGTAGAATGGGAACAGCAACAGCATTATTCTTGATAATCCTTTGTGGTTTGCAATTCAAAGATTGGTGCTAATAGAATCTGTTGTTTTTGAACAAAAGTGCTTATTAGTTATCAAAATATCCATTCTCACCTCTGGCATGAAACTGTGAGAGCAGGTGAGTTATAACCTAGAGACAGTAAAATGTGATTTTGATTCAGTTTTTATATACACCTTTGTCAGCCAGGCTTAAAGTTCTGCAGAAATGAAATGATATATATGTTGGATTCAGGTGCCATTCATAGAATTATAAGTGAGGAAGATGGAGATTACAGAGATGAGCCAAAATCATTGCATATTTCAAACACACATGCTCAGTGGATCTCTGGCTTTTCATTCCCATTTGTGAGGTCACTTTATGACATCTCTTCATTTTGGATCAGTATTCTATACAAAAGACTGGGTTTTTTTCTCTTGATTTGAGTACACGCATCTTTTAAGTTGAAATCAAATCGGAGCTTTCTAGTTGCCTTCCCATGATACGATTTCTTCATATATAATGATACATTATACATGTCTCAATAGAATGATATGAATGATTATGTGAACTTGTGGAGAATAAGCTGCAAATCATAATAGAAAGTGCTATCTTTATTCCCAACATGCATGGCAAGGAATTGGCTTCACCAGCCATAGTAACTGAGAAAACAGAAAGCAGGAAGAATTTGCAGTGATGTATGACCAACCTGCACTCTTTTAAAGAAGATTCATTTTTCATCAAGTTTAAAAGTCCAATCCTTAAAAGACAGAATTAAAGTTTTTCCCCCTTAAGCAGATACAAGATTCTAACTCACTGAAACATGACCTATCTTCTTCTCTTTTTCCTTTCACGATTGTAAGTAACTCTTCTGCTGTACAATAGCACAGAGGCCAATACTAGATAACTATTACTGTATTCAATATATTCTCTATGAGCAAGTGGCATCTTTTGTTCAACACAGTAGCCATATAATCCCACTTCAGAGCATGTTCCAGCAAAGGCATCCTTCTGAATCTCATTTTGAAAGCCAGAGTAATGTTTGTTTCTGGGGAAGCTAAATAACCAGATGCTGATGCTTTGTATACATACTAAAGTGCAGCTGAAACAAAAAATCTGAGAAAAAAAATCAGGAGACATTTATTTTTAATTTGGTGAAGCAAAAAATTTAACTATTTGTTTTGGGGTCAAACCTTTCATTTTATGTCCTAAAATGCAGTATTTTCAACAAACTGTTGTGCTGAAATGAAAAGAAAAAAGCTTTTAAAAATGAGTTAACATTTTAGTATTCTCAGAAAAAGACATTTTGGAAATATCAAAAATAGTTTAATAATTTTGAAGTATTTCTCCAATTTTGGGGGTGAATTAACTATCCTTGCCACCTCTTTTCTGTCCTCTCCTACTGTCTTCTGGTAGAACACCTGCAGCTTACTCATTCTCATTTTAACATAATCCTTGACTGAGAGCTTTATGTACATCAGAAGGCTCCTGGTCTTCCACAGGGTGCTCCTGACATACGAGACAAACTGATCTAAGTGGGCTAGTGGGGACCCCTATTGTTTGATAAGGTGCCCATACAGTGTCCTCTCTCCCTGTCACCACCCAGCAGAGACAGTTTACTTTCTTCCACACCTCCCTGGTTTGAGGGTGGAACCACAAGAGGTGGCTGATGGTTTCTACTTTCCAGGGGCAGGTTTCCCTGGGCTAGTTAGGTTGGCTTTTCTGTTCTTGTGTATCAGAGCCTGCATGGGCAGTGCTCAGTGGGCTACTTACCAGTTCAAATCCCTGTAGTCCTTCTTCAGGCCCCTGTGGAAGATATGCTTCCATGAAGCCTGGTAGTTATTGCCAGGGAGCAAGTGCACAGTTGACAGTCCCTCTCTCTGGATCTAACCACCTCCTGCATTTTCCAGTGGTTGGTCATGGTTGCAGAGGCTTCTTTGAGCAGGTCATACTTGCTCTGAAAAATGTCCAAGACCTTGTAGAACCATGGCTGCTCCACTGTCCACAGTTTCCCATTGGGCACTGTGTCAACATCTCAGCAAATGCCCTGATTAGTATTTGATAAAGCAGCCTATTTTTGTCTCTGCACCAGTTGCCAGTTTGAAGATCTGGCTCAGGTACTTGGCCCAGAGGAACAACAGGATATCTGGCATTCCCTTGCCTCCAGTCTGTTTGGTCTTGAACAGCATCTTCCTCACTACTTTCTCCCATCTTGATTCCAAGAAGAAGGTGCACATGGGGATCTACCACAAGGACAGGCCAGTGTAGTCCATCTGAAGAAGATATATGCTAGTGACCATTGATCCCCCTCAGTGCTGGCTTCCAGGTCACGGTGAGTCACTGAACTGAATACATTTCAACATCCTCTTTACTCCCAAAGTTGTGCTGAGTTGTGCCTTTTTTTTCTCCTTTCCAATCATTCTTGTTTCTTCACCAGCCTTAGATGTCTGGCAAACATGACCAAATGGGGCCCTGAACTGTTCACCCAGAATCCCTCTGTTAGCCACTCTCTCAGCCTGTTGCATATGATTAGCATAGCACTACCCTTCTTGAGGTGAAGCCAGACCAAGTTGCCCTGTGCTTCTTCTGTATATACATTTTGGAGGATCGCAGGACTCATGACAAGAACATCCAGTTCCAGTCATGAGTGAGAGGCTAAGTAGCACATGGATCTTTTCTGGGGGGACATCTGGAGTACATATATTGATCAGTGCTGAGCTATGGAGTCACTACATCTTGAAATGCTGTTGACTCTACTGGGGCATAGCCCAATGAACAATATGGTAAATCATGTGCCTTTTGGTTTTGGACTAATTTCATGCATAATTTGTGCATATATATATATATATATATATATATGTAGGAACAAAAGTGCTAAAGTGTCTTAATGGAGTACCTGTGCTAAAACATGCAGTGATTACAAAAACGGTAAAATGTGTCAACTGTGGGATAAACTAAGCCTATAGGTATCCACAGTAATTTGTCTATTTGGTTTATTTCAAAGTCGGTATCTTTGGGACAGGGTGAAAGGGATAGGGGAAAATAACCTCACTCATATCTTTCCCCTTACCAGGTTGTGGGTAAGGGTCTACCTCTTCAGCTGCTGGAACTACTGGAATTACACATGCTTTGTTGCTGAGTCAGCCACTTGTGCCAGGCAGACGAGAAGCCCACAGGGAGCGCACCTAGTGTCTGGCAGGGGAAGCCTCAAATGAGGACCCATATAACCTCAACAGTGTGCCAGGGCTGGGGGAGTGCTAAGTCGCTGGTGTTACTAAGAACACCCCTGACTTAATACCCTTGGACTCACCTGCAGGAAACTTGAGTGCCAGTGAGTCAGAGAATGCCATCCCTAATTAGCTGGGTTTCTCAAGGGGTGGCAGTAAGAGAACACCGGAAATGAGTGGAGGAGGCTCCAGGTGGCAGATAGAAGGCCACACATTGGGACATAGTGAGGGGCAAGTATGCTGCCCATGTTCTCTTTTTTTTTTTTGTAGAAGACAGACTCTTGGGGATTCCAGGCATAAACCCTGGAGCCTATTCCTAAAGGATGCTTCCAGGCCAAGCCCCAAGTGTCCAGTGAATCCTTCCAGCCAGAGCCAGGAGCCAAGAGACTGTATATAGATATGGAAGTTTATGGTAGGAATGTGGGGCAGAAGAGCTCCCAATCATTCCCCAAATGGGGTTGTGCCAACCAACATGGAGTAAGGGGCCCCAGTTAGCATTTTGGGGGTTCCCATGTGCTACATCCCCTTGGTAAGGAACCCAGCAGAGATGGGACTAAGACCACGGGGAATCCAGTAGACTCTGAAAATCCAAGATCGGTTAAAGACACAAGCTGGGTAAGGCAGAGGCCTTGTTGAGCAATTTCTATCATTTTACAACAAATCGTGGTGGGTAAGTCATTAGCAAGGACCAAAACCTCACTCAAATAAGGTAACACGAAACTTGGCTGGATATCAGCTCCAGCCCTGTTACAGTTTTCAAATGTGCCCCTCTCTTCCATGTGCTCAGAGAGAGCAGGGTCTCACAGCAAGGAGTGGGAGGTGGGGAGGGAATGCAGAGGGTCAAAGCTGGCAGGGCAGAGGGCATAGGGACTTCCTGATTCCTCTAGATTTATTTTCTCTGCTGTATTAGTGGTATGAGGAAAATTCAGGGCAAATCTCCAATAATTAGATTCTAAACCTGGAAAATTATAACAAATGTATATATTTTCCAGATATAGAATCTAATTATTAGGGTGTCATGTTATATTCAAGTACATATGGAGTATCTTTTCCATTCTTCACCCTCATCTGTGATTCACTTACTAATGTCTCTCTCTCACATTCATTGCCAATGATCCCATGACTTGTCCCCAAAATATTATCTCTGCTTCCTGTCTTTCATTTTTGTCCTTCTCTGACATCATTAAGCTGTCTATATTTTATAACTATAGTGATTTTGCTTGATTCCAAGATAAGGTTTTTTTCCCCCATTCAACATGGAGAAAAAACCACATTTTGAATCTACAAGTGCTGGGGCAGGCAGTTTCTGTGGTTCAAACTTTGGCCCTAACCCAGGTGGGGGAACAGGGTCAGAGTCAGATATACTTGCTTTTTCAGGCAAGTTTGATTTAAGACATCCATGTATAATAGAGCAGAATCCAAGATTATACAAGCAGTGGAGATTCAGTTCAAAGAAATTCTTGTATGCAAGTCTATTAAGGGACTAAAGCAAAAATGCTTGGCGTCTTAGAGCTCATGTTTGGCCACAATCCAAGAAAAGACTAATTTTGTGCTCTCAGTTTGAAGGGGGAAGGGGAAAAGGTTCCCCAGGCTTGGTTAGGAGTGGCTGTACATTTATTTTGCAAAGTCCTAGCACCTTTTTCATTTTTTTTCAAACTTCGTATTTTATAATAATTTCTTTTACTGTATGCTATCTAAGTAATTCTAAAACTACTAAAAATACTGTCAATATTCAAGAAAAAAATAGTGGCCCTTTTCACAGCTAAGCAGCTTTACAGAATACCATTGCTCTGCAAGGAAATACACTTGGTATTAGAATCAAACACTAATCTCCATGGGCAACTGTTTTCTTACACAACAAGCTATGCTTCTCTTTCTTGTTAACAAAATATTGCCTAATATTTTGTAATGGTGTTTATTAGAAAATTGTTTATTAGAAAAGTCTGATAGCCAAAATACTAGAAAAAGGTAAGAGGTCAGTCAATGAGCTGCTGTACTAGGCTGCACTGTCAGCATAAACAGTCTTCTAGTGGTTTATCAATTTATTTCCTGTATTATAGAGTAATTTAATTGTCATATCACGTTTCTGTTTGCTACTGACCCTCCAGCCATACATAAAATTGAACCTGACCTACATGAATAATTGAGTTTGATACTACGTTGACATTAATTTTGTAGGCAAGAGGGAGTTTTGTTCTTCTAGTGCATGACCTGACCAGACCTCTGCTCCCTGTGAAGATGAAACAACTTTGCTCATAAGAGCAATATATACAGGCCTTGTTTTCATTCACCATTGCAAAAGTATGAAGTATTTTGGTTTCTGAAGTTGGAATCATTATTGGTTTGTACTTTCCAGAGGTCAGTAAGCATAACTGAGGTAGCTGTGATATATAAAAAAATTGCTAATTAGTGTTGTGATTTTTAAACGTATTTTAGTAATTTAGGAGCACCTACATTTAATTTAAGACACCTGTAATATGTTATTTTGACTGTGCTGCACCCACATAAAATAAAATATTGCTTAGCACACCCCATAGTCAGAGGAAACTGAGAAGGAGCATGGAGCAAATGTACTGAGTTCCCTCAGGCTAGAAAATAAAAGTAAATTATTGGGGTCTTCATTACAGTTCTTTATAAAACTGTGTCTTTCTTAGGGGAACTTCAATTTGCAGAGGCTTAGTTACCTCTAAATCCTGACTTTCTATGAAGGTAATTTCAGCTGTTAGCTACATCTTACTCGGGGAAATTTGGTCCATCCACCTACATCTCAAATCTCTCAGCTGAGTAGGTGTAATACTTTCCTTAAATATTATTAACAGTAAACTCAATGGCACCTTTAGTCTCTCATTTTCCTTACTTCTTTCTTGGACTGTAATAAGCATTTTCAATCTTATTTCAAATTCAACATTTTTTCAATGGTCTCTTTCTCACTCTAGTTTTTCTCAGACTTTTAGCATTCTCAGGCTCATGAATATTCACTTCCCACAACTCTAACAAAAAAACATTCCAAAGGACATATATTGATTTGTTCCTGCAGTTCTTTTGTCTTGCTGTAACTTATAAAAACCTTAGAGCAATGATCAGAGAAATGACTATGAATAGCAAAGATTGTGAGTTCACAGGAGATCAGACTCATGTCAAAACAGAGCAGTAGTTGTAAATTAATATAATCTACAAAGTCAAACTGATACATGCTATAATGAATGTGGGCAATGAGTGCAGAGAGAACTACAGGCATCAATACGTGACCTGACATAAGACAATGTTCTATAGTTGGGTTCACAAAAGCTTGTGCTCACCATATATGTAATATACACACACACCTCATTTAGTTCATCTAAAAGATGCATATCTACCCTGCTTTCTATATTTGTTAGAATATTTGATTTCAAGCTTGAACTTCTTGGTTCTATTCCTAACCCTAGCATTGACTGGTAGAGTAATGTTGGGTAAGTTACATGACCTCTACTAACCATTACATTTAATATGAAGTGATTTATTTCTTTGATCATATTTTCTGTTCTCTCTCATCAAACACTAGCTCTCTTAATACTTCTATAATATCTGCAGTAGGAAGCTATTTTTCATAATCTATTTCTGAAACAGATCCACAAGAGCATCAGGTCCAGCGCCCCTGCACTTGGGCAGGAAAGACAGTGTGCTGGGGAACAGGGATGGTGCCTTGCGCAGGCAGCTTTGTGGCAGCGAAACCCGCAAGTGGTACTTCTGCTGCATATGACATCAACCTCAGATCCCTTATCTAGGTGTCGAGTTGTCTGATCATAGAAGGAAATGAGGTTAGTCAGGCAAGACCTGCCCGCAATGAAGTCATGTTGGCTGTCCTTTAGAATACTGTTAATAATACATTTTTAAGGTACTACAGATGAAACTCATATGGATTATCTATTCTTGCCTTTATTCCACTGAGAGCTAAAGCACATTTTCTGTATCTATCTCAATATAGCATATGCACTATTGAGCCCTTGCTATTAGTACACACTCTCATCTGCTATACCAGTGACAATGCATTGGTGGGAATATATAGAAGACCTACAAGGCACAAACATTTATACCCTGAACTGACTAAAGAGATTCCCTCTGTTTTCCAACCTAAACATAAAGGAGCAAGCAAAATAGAGGAGTGTCCGTTTTCCAGGGCCTACCACCTGACAATCTCAAGGGCATAAGGCTATGTGTTTGTTACAACCATGTAACAAGTTCAATAACTTTAAGGCGATGGGTTCCAAGTAAAATTATAGCTTTATTTTCCTTTTCTTTACACAAGAATATTCCTTTTTCCATTACAAGAAAACCAGATTTAACATCAGAGAGAGATTACAAACCACTGATTATAAGATTATTTTAATAATGCCATTAATTTATGCATCTAACCTTTTCTCTCTACTGTTGTGTGGGATCCCCACAACACTACCTCTTGTCAAACTCCTTTTTTATCCTGTTCAAGTTCTGAGCACCAGTAAAATAGACAAAATCATGCAAGGCAACTAAACAACTGGAGAGCATGATACATTAAAATGTCTTATTTGTTAGACAGCAATGTCCAGGGGCACATACTGAAGAACAGTTAGTCATCTACACAACAGCCATCTATTTCAACTCACTTATTTCAAGTTCTACAAATTGACTTATCTCCCAAGTACATCAAGGAGCTATTTTTCACAGAACTTGCAGATATTTCATCCTGCTTTTTTTAAAAAAAGGATACTAGTCAGAGTCAACTATTAAATCCACAAATTAAAAAATAAAGCAAACCAAAAACAACAATAACAACAACAACAAACAATGACCCTTTTCTCCTAAGGCTTTAGTTATGAGAAGTTTAAAGGCTCAGACTATTTTTATAAATTAATATTGATGAAGTAATAGTTCAAGTTACACAAATCTCCTTGTCAGCAACAAATAAATGAACTTACTATCAGTTTTTGAAGACAATTATTTAACCCACACATTTAGTTCAGCTTTCTTTGTGATGGATGGATTCATGGTCTAAACTTTCTATTATTCAGAGATGGCCCTTGGTGTTCTACAATAGGCTGCATTTACAGTGTCTATTACTAGATCATGCCTAAAACAAAATACATCTATCAAGACAAGTGACAGATCTAAAACATGGGATTCCCAGGGCATGCATTTCAGAGTCATCAGTATTCTGGCAATGTTTCTTATAGCATTTGAAAAGTTTTGTCTATTTTTCAGGGGGGGAAAGGAGGGTTCTTAATTTTAAAGGCACTTACATGTTTTCTGTCCTTGTGTTACCCAAAAGTGGCAGAATCTTTACCTTGTAACTGCATAAAGATCCTCAAGTTCCACACACAGGACATAGAAGTATAGGAAGTAACTTCATCTGGTTCTTTGCTATCAACTTATGTCATCTTTGGTATGTAAAGAAGCAAAGTGGTATCCTTTGTCTAAATGAATATTTACATCCAGGGGTATTCTGGGAACCAAGAATAGTCTGAAGAATCAGTCTCACCAAAATTAAATACTGACAAGCATAAATGTAGATAGATTGTATTAGCAAATTTAATAATGAAATACAGATAAAATATAAATGACCAAACAGTACAGATAAGGCATATGAAGGAAATTATTAGAATATACAAAATGTGCACTTACCCCCCAAAATAGTAATCTTATTAGAGTTGAAAGAAATTAATCTTAAATTCTCTAAGGCTTAAGAGTTTTAAAAGCCTCCAGTAAGTACCCAGCCTTCTTATCACAGTCTCCAAAGTTTTCTTACTTAAGTTTCAGAAACTTTTTTTCAGAAGCACTAACTGGGTACACCTACAGGTGGGCAATTCAGCAAGCACTATAGTTCAAGACTGAAGAGTGAAAATCCTGAGCTGGATCTGGATTTCTGTATTTTATTACCAGGCTAAATATTAAAAGTTTACTAAATAGGGTTAACATATATGTAAAAAATGTTTCTAATGTTCTACTCTAATTATTATTTATATACCTATTTTATTCCCTATTTAAACTATATCTTTTCTGAAATCTGATGTAACTATCATAAAATCACTACGTGTTCTAAGCAAACTTTAAACCTACTTCTTTTGACCCCTCTCTAAAACTTTCCAAAATTATTCTCATTTTGACGTGCTCTAGCTTGCTCATTTCTTTTGCCTCTTCTTTTATCCAAACTTAAGCAAATGCAAATAAATGTTACACCACATTGCCATTAAGTAGCTTAGGGCCTACTATAGTCTACATGAGGCAGAATCATTTGGGACTTGGTGTAGAAGTTAAGTTGTCCTGTCAAACTAAACCAGGTTTACAGGTAATTCAGATGCAGAATGGAGTTTGGGGACAAGGGAAGAGGCTCAAGACCTGCCATGAAAGATAAAAAATACTAACAAGGTGTGTGGTGGAAGGTCAACACTAGATCACATTCAGTTTGAGACCTGCTTTCACCAGAGACACACGGATGAAAGTTTGTTGTACCCCGGAGAGCTGAAGACCCCCAGTGGACCCTCTGGTGAACCCTGGCCCCCAAGCACGGAGCCAGGAGGTAAGTGGGGACCGCAGTGAGGTAAGTGGAGCCATGCAACCAGAGCCACACAAAGAGCACAAACAACTGTGCTTCTGGGTCCAGCACATGAATTAGTGTGGGACTTCTGGCAGGACAGGGTAGGAACAGGGCAACCAGTCCCTGCAAGTGGCACAGTGCAGTGCAGGCAGCAGTCTGTACACACATAAGAGGCCAGAAGACTCTATAAGAGTCCACGGGACTCTATCAGATCCCAACTGAAAGCACTTTTAGTTTGGGACTTGCTGTCAGTGGAGATGCATGGGTGAAAGCCATCATGCCCCTGAAAACTAAACAGTGAACCCTGACCCCCCCAGTGCAGAGTCAGGATGTAAGTGGGGACCACAATGGGTAGGACTCAGCAGTGGCAGAGCAGCAGAGCAGCAGCTGAGTGAAGTCAAGGAGGGTAACACTGCCCTGCTCCAGCTCCTACTTAGCCCAGCCCCCAGGGAGCTGTGCAACTAGAGCCACACAAACAGGCTCACTTCTGGGCCCAGCATGTGAGTTGTTGCATGAGTTAGCACAGGAAGTCATGCATAAGGACATGTGGAAAGGGCATGAGGCTTTGTGCAATGAGCCTGAGAAGTCAGGTACATGGTAGTAGTGCAATCTATATTGTACAATGGTGGGGATGCATTGTACCCTGAAGATTCTCACCTCCTCCACTGCTGGAGCTCCTCCTCCTCACACCACTGAGGCCTGGTTGCCAGCAAGTGTGAATGGGAGCAAGGGCACACCCATTTTGGGGGTATGCTCTCTAGGACTCTAGAGTGCCATGTGAGGGAGCTCCAGGCAAAGATGAGCAGGCATCACACAATCAGGGTACACAAGCAGGAGACTGACAACCACTACCAGGCTTTTCACCAGAAGAATGAGGAGGAAAGAGCATAGCAGCCCAGCAGAATGAAGAAGGACAACTAACCTGGAATCCCATCCCGGGGTTGCTTGGAAGACAGTCATCTCAGGTACCAAGGCACACAACACTAGGGTCAGTCCTCCCCTGGAACTGTGCAACAGGTATGCACTTCTCACAGTACCAGCAGAGTTGTCAGCAGAAGCACTGGCTCTGGAGGAAGGAAGGCAGTCATTTACCAACCTAAAGAAGAGATGCAGAGTGGTCATGCTGGCTGACTCCCTCATGAGCAGGATTGAGGGAGCGGTTTGCCACCCCAACCCTCTAACTCATGAGGTGTGCTGACTCCCAGGGGCTTGAAAGGATGAAAGGTTTCCTAAAGTTGTCCAGCCCTCTGAACACTACCCCATGCTCGTAATCCATGTGGGCATGAATGACATGGCTAGAAACAATCCTGGCCAGATCATGAGTGACTACAGAGCTCTGGGAGATGGGCTCAAGAGGTTGGGGCCACAGGTAATTTTCTCTTCAGTTCTCTTGGTTATGGGTCATGGGTACAGGAGGGACAGATGCATAGAAGAAGTGAACAGAAGACTCTGGCACTGGTGCTACTATGAGGACTTTGGTTTCTTTGACCACAGCACACACTTCAGAGCCTGAGACCTAATGGGAAAGGATGTACCTGCACACCCAATACACATACACAAACATGCACTTTCATGACTGTGTGTTAACCGTAGGGGGCATTTGGGGTAACTTAGTGCTTGGGCTTACTTAAGGTCAAGTGGCCCTGGGTTTACTAAGGGATAATGTGTCCTGGGATTACTTGGGGTCACCTGGTGCCAGAGTGGAAGCAAGAGACAAAGCCCGGTGACAAGGAGGAGAAAGCCAGGAAATAGAGAGGCAGAAAGCTGGGAGATCAGGGGGCAGATAAGTGGTGGCAAGGAGGTGACAGCCAGGAAACTGAAAGGTAGAAAGCTGGGAGATTGGGGATGGAAACAGGGAGGCAGAAAGCTAGGAGATAACCAGGAAATCAAAGAGGAGGGTCACGAGGTCAATAAGACAAAAACCCAACTCAGGCTTTCAAAATAACAGGTTTATTAAACAGACAACACACTACACAGCCCCATGAAGTTATTGATTCCTACCCACACACATGCACGCACCCCCCCCACACACACACACACTCACATACACACGCACTCAATGGTAGCAGGAGAGAAAAAGGCTTGGTGGAGAGATTGAAGTCAAAGTGGGTAGGGACACAGTCCAGGTCCTTTGCTTAGGGAAAGAAGGTGGGTGAAAGCTACCTATCCTGGGCTGTGAGTTGATGGCCAGTCGGGGGTCTTCTCCAGCAAGGTGTTGTCCAGAGGGGGTCACCGGCAGGGCCTCTGGGTGGATAGGTGGTGTGATGTAGTGCTTGTCCAGATGGAAAGGGCATCCCACTGGGTCTGTCTTCACCACCCCACTGTATAGGGGAAGACCTTCTATGACCCTAGTGGCAGGGGCATGCCTAGGCAAGGGTCAGCCCTGGTGTACTGAGCATGTGCACTCCAGGTGAGGACATGTAGTTCTAGGTGTCTGTTGCAATAGTGGATTGGCTTATTTTCGTTACGTTTTTGTCTTTCAATACTTGGTCTGTGGTTCCTGGGTGAGTCAATGGAAGGCAATAGTCCAGTCATTGAACTGATGGTCCAGTCATTGAGTTGATTATTTAGTAGAGGCCTGCTACCATTGTATCTCAAGCACCCTCATTCATCCCCATTCATTCAGGAAACAATTTACATGAGACTGGTTAGACATGAGTCATAGGTTACACCCGGGCAGAGGATGCAAGATGGAGGCTTGACAGACAAAATGGAAACTTGACATAACTTGATATTACTTATGCTAACTTGCACATGTAGGCCTAAATCATATAATATCAATAGAAGAAAACCAGTAAAAATCAGTAAAATAGTATAAACACAATAATTATACAATATAAAACAGTGGAGCAAAGGAGAAAAGGAAAAACCAATGCTACAAAAATGATAAAGCTTATCTTATGTCTTAACTTAATCATACTTACCTATAGGGAATAGAGAGGGAGAGAAAAAGTCAGAAATAGTTAGGGAAGGGAGGGAATGCATTTCAAAATTAAAAAACAAACAAACTGGGGGTTCTGCTATACTGACACCAGCCGAAGCACAGACTTTTCCACAGCACACCAGGAAGCCTAAGGCCTCCAAAGGAAGGCTTAGTTGCCTTTACACAAATGCCAGAAGCATGGGGAACAGGCAAGAGGAACTAGGCGTCCTGCTAACCAACAAGTAATATGATCTCATAGGGATTTTGGGGACCTGGTGGGGCTCTAGTACCTATGGTTGGAACACAGGTATAGAGGGCTACACCTTGCATAGGAGGGATCATGTTGGGGAGAAGGATGAAGGAGTTGCTCAGTACATGAAGGAACAGTGCACCTCCATAGAAGTGGAGATTGGCAATAAGAAGGGCAACTTGAAACCCTCTGGGTCAAGATACGGGTAGAGCATGAAGAAGGGGATTTAACTGTAGGACTTTATTACAGACCTCTGAACCAAGAGAAAGAAAACTGGCACAGGCTGCATGGTCTCAGAGCAAGGTCATCATGGGTGACTTCAACTACCCAGACATCTTGTGGGA